CTCAAACTTCTTCCTTGTATCTTTTGTATCAGTGCTTCCTTTAACGTTGACAATTTTAACTTGATATATCAAATAACCGACAAAAGAGATAAAACAGGAAATATAAATGAATGGCTCTTATCAAAGTTTCTATAAAACAAGAAATGTAGCCAACGAAGACATTGGACGCCATGAAAGTTTTACTTCTGATTATTTTTATTGGAGTTACTTTTATTCATACAGCAGTGGGTCTAGGTAATTTATATATTACATTTAAATAAAATCTCATTGATCTCTGAAAATTGTAGATATTTAGAAATTTAGAATATTTAATGCGTTAATGTTTTCCGACATTGAAGGCAAACATGACTGTATATATTCCTTCACTTTTATCATAATTCCGTTGTAAAAGTTATACTTTTACACAATCTTAAAGCAGTCGTGGGGCCGTGACACGGTTGCATTGTTTACATTTTAAATTTGTATGTTTATTCAAGAAATGAAATCAATTCAATGAATTGAATTTACATGAATATTCTTAGAATTCAATGACAACGGCATTCTTTACATCACGTAATACACTTGTTTTTGTAATAAACAGGGCACGAGCTCTGTAATTGTTACTGTTTACAGTTTACCGGTTGAGTTCTGTTTGTTTACTCTGCACACATCAGTGAACATGGACAGACAATACACGTGGATTGGTGTTGCTTCTCACATTTCCACTCTGAATATTCTGGATTATAGTTTATATATTTCTCATTACTTCACAAAAAATATCTACTTTTTTAAGTATTTAGGATAAAGTTTACTTCGTGAAAGTGCAAGGTTATCTTGCAATCCAACGAGTTCCGGAATTCGAAGTTTTAATATTATCCGGATAAAAGAAGTTTATAAACATGCATTTTGAATATTTCGGCGTGATATGCTCTAACTACATATAACGTGATATTATACTGAGAATTGTAGAAAATATTAACCTCAGATCTGTGTACAAGCCCTTTAAACAATCTTGAAGGGACCTTTGATTTAATAATTAAATCTATTTTTTTTTTATTTATTGTATCTCGTTTTTTCTAAAAATGTCTACACGACTGTGAACAGGTGGCATAATTCACATGAGAAGGAATTTCGCTCCCCCCCCCCCAAAAAAAAAAGTAAAGTTTCTTCAAATACTTGTTTTATAAGTCCGATTTCCGACCAACTAAAACATATCAACACAAGAATCAAAACTTCTAAAATTTACTAGGAACTTTACATTAAGGATTTGAAAACCAAAGCTAGGTACCACAGCTCGAGGACCATAAAGAAAATGGTCACGTACTCATTACATATGGAAATATTGGCAAGGTTGAACGTCAAATAACATTTTTACTTCGATATTGTCATTGCATGGTGACGAACTGGCCATGTCATCTTTTTTTATTGTGTAATACTGTGCTTAATCTTTGATGTGGCATGACATAATAAAAAAAAATCTTATCCATCTGTGAACAAAGTCATAGGACTATAGGTAATGAAATGTCTAAAGCTGCCATTTTAAGCGTCTCAATTCCTTTGTGTATTCTGTTCCATAGATCTTTAAAGGAATTTGTATTTCCTAAAAAGTGGAAGGTACATGTAGCTAAATAAATGTACTTCCTTTATTAGAAAAGAAGTAGTATCATTATTAAGTTGTATAAGTAAATTTATCGAGCGTGTTTATTACACTTTCAATAATGAAATACTGTGATTTATTTATTGAATAAAAGTGATATTCTTTCACAATGTGAAAGGATACCAGAACGATATTCTGTCACAGCGTGAAAGGATATAAAATAAAGTAAAAATAAGTTCTGGCCTGCCATAAGCTAGAGATAGTAAGTAAACCATCTTGATGCATCCATTTTACAATGTTTTCAATCTCACAATTGTTAGGCTATAACTTTCAAGCGCTCAACTATGACTTCACAGCCTATAAGACTAACACTGTGTTAAGAAAAGACAGAGGCAAAGATAAATCAAAGAAAATGTAATAAACAGAAAATTCAATGTTTTTTCACTCGTGAGACAGAATTTTTTTATATTTTCACCCTTGCTTCGCACTCGTGAATATATTAAAAAAATTCTGTCCCACTCACTCGTGAAATAAATTCCATATCCAACAACGAAACATTGAATATCCTCTATATATTTAAATATGTATATAATTATTTTCACTTATTCTTTATTTTAATAAATGTAAAGCGGTTTTTACCAGGTCATTCAACAGTTTGTCAGAACATTGCGACATACGCATAAATAGTAAACGTTACAGCTATAGATGGAGAAAAACAGATTTTTTGTGATAGGACACAACAATTATTTTCAATCTTTACACCTTTGAGTCATCAAGGGGTCTCTATAAGGACCGCTTTTATTTATGTATGTCAATTACGTAGGTAGACAATCACAAATTTATTGCATCTCTGAGTGTGACTATCTTTTGTCCCAAAGGCAAAAAGGGAATGAATCAATTAACCTCTTGGCACAAGAAAGTCTACCACTAGGGGTTTTTTTCATATTATTTTCTATATCAAAAAAAACTTAAGTGCTGCTGCTTTAAATAGAATTCGCATTTTATTAGTTTAAATTTCAAGTTATCTTGCTAATGTCGAAATATGTGTGACCTTTACCAAGTATTTTATGTACTTATTAAGTTATGCTATCGATTTCAGGAAAGCAGCAGCACTTTTCAAGTTAAGGAATATGTGCATTATGTGTATTCAAAAAATGGTCAAGATCTATTAAGTGTATGCCCTTGCAAAAAGGCGATTTAATGAGACACCTCGGCGTGAAACATGCACACCCTGTAGACAAAAACACAGTAGAATTAATTCAATACATTCTCTCTATATTTTTTAAATAATGGCACTAAACAAACGTTTCAGATTTGTATTAATGGTCTACCTAAAATTTTCAAATAATATTCTGTTTAATTTTAAAATTTTCACTGTGAAAAAAATTACTTGATCCGCCTCTCACTGCACATAAAATGCGTCAAACTTTACCATGATGACATCATGTCGACAAGTGCATTGCGATCAGTGACTTGTTTATATCTTGCTGTGTGGGATTTAACTAGCGACAAAAATGAATGCAGTGGTAAGTTTTGATGTAGTTCATTACTCTTATGCACTTTATATTCGCAAATTATTTCATTTTCTGTTATTGTGAGGAATTGCTATATTTGTGTGATGTCACAGTAAACTTTTCCCGTATAAATTAGGCCCCGCCCCCTTTATGCAGCCTTAACAGAGCTGCGTACCAACTGAGCTATCTGGCCACCGGCGATCGAACCCAATCTCATCGCCACATTTCTCCCTCCTAAATGGTCTTCGAACCCCGAAAATATCAACATGGGCTCTTCCCTGGTAGGTCTCTTACCTGTCAATTCCAGGGTATGGCACGGAACCAAATGTAACAAGAGAGGAGAAAATTGCGACGAACAAGACCTGAACCCAGGCCCCTGAATCTCCACACAGGTACTTTACTAACTTAGCAATATGGCCAATGGCGATCGAACCCGTCTGACCGCCACACTCCTCCCTCCTTAAAAGTCTTCGACCACCTAAGACACCAAACCAGGCTCTTCCCTGGCAGGTCTCTCACCTATCACTTTCAGGCGCGGGTGTGTTAAGGAAGCATTCAAATCATTTCTCGGTGAATTTAGACTTTTTAAAGAAAATTAAGTTTGATAATTTATCAAAGCCGCCGATAAAACGTCAATTATTATTAACTTTTGCATAAAGACCACATAGTGTCTGAGGCCAAGAAGTGCACCACCACAAAGTCATCACGTGACTGCTATTTATAGTAAAATATTTCTCAATAAAAAATTAACAGAACAACACTACCCCGGGGTTTAATTATTTTTTTGAGTAAATAAAATAGTTATAAAAAAAATTTCTGATGCCTAAAAAATGGTGCTAGAATCCCACTGTCCGGTCGGGGAAAATAATTATCCCACACATTCGCACGAAACTTTACCTGATGTTTTGCATTATATACATATAACCCGAGATATTTCTTCAAACCATGTTTACTTCATATTCTAGCAACACTTTTCAAGTTTTATAGAACACAAGCTTTCGATCTGTACAAATCTTATGTTTTGAAGTAATCCAGCTTAGTGTTGTTCTTTTGCATTATTGTTGTCAAGAATGACAGACCGGTCACGGTAGCTTAGTGGTAGGGCGTTCGCTTCGTGATCGGGAGGCCCGGGTTCGATTCTCGTTCGCCGCGCCGCGTCAAACTTAAGACGTAAACAAAGGTAGTGACTGTTCCTTCGCCAAGCGCCCGGCATTAAAGTTAAAGTCACGGGTCTTTCGGGTATGACCTTTTTTACGTAGACCCCTTGTCACGGTAGGCGCTGGCACGATAACGAACCCTCACTGCTCAACGACCCTGAGTGCCGAGTATAGGTCTAAATTTGAAGCCCTTCACCAGTATGCAGTGACGTCTCTATATGAATGAAAAATTCTCGAATGGGACGTTAAACAACAACAACAATACACACACACGAATAAAAGGAGAAATGCCGACGATATGTAAATAGCTGTCTACAATAGAAGATATAATCAATGAAAATAAATCAGCATACCTGTTTAACAAACTTTAACTCCATATGAATCACACACAATATTCAAGGTATTTGCTTCTAAACCCCCTTTACATAACTTTTTACATGCCGTCTTAGCCAAAATCTCGTAACACAAGATGACCAATTCTCAAGTTACTTTTTGAAAAGTTATGACGTCATCGTTCGGAGATTTTAATCCAAGTGACAGTTACAGATTAACAAAATAAAAACATTTTATTTTTGTTAATATTTGAATGTTTCTATTATTTTCAGGAGTTTATTTACATCTCTAAATACCAATATTAAGAAAACTTATGTTCTAAAATTGACGTCATCTCGCCTATTCTGAAGTCATATTGTATAACTGATTTAGTCAAGTCAGAATATCTGAGTGTTTCCTTAAAACACCTGTTGGCATGACATGACACCAAATGTAACGGGAAGGGAGGGGGAATGCAGTGGACCAGATCGGGATTCGAATCCGGGCCCCCTGAATCTCCAGTCAGGTACTCTACCAACTGAGCTATCCGGCTACCGGCGATCGAACTCGTCTGACCGCCACACGTTATATTCCACAAAATATTTATTCAGATTATAGGTATTTTTTAAATTGTTCAAATTCATGAAGTCCCTTTTTTGTACGAATTCATCATTAATGAAAAAAATGTCACTGGCTTTCCATTTCCTTTTAGACACATATTTTCGATTATTTACCCATAGTGGTTGATTTAAAATTCTCACCACTAATATTCCTTCAGGAATTGTTTAACTCTCTCTCTCTCTCTCTCTCTCTCTCTCTCTCTCTCTCTTAAAAAGCAGATCGTTATTGGAATGCCATTCATACAGTTGTTTTTTGAGTAAAGATCCATTTAGCTGAAGCGTAAATTATTGACACTTCTTTTAATTTTTGTAGGGAAATAGAATAGGTATATCATATTTTTATTCATTTGCGCTAAATACACTGCTTCAAAAAATGAACTATTTAAATATATTTTGGAATGATCAACTTACGTATAGTAGACACTCATGTATAATATATGGAAGATGATTTGATAAGTATTTCTGAAAATTGAAATTTATTTTCAAATGTGCATTTGTTTATAAATTAGGGTGTTGCTAAAACGCGGAACGGAAAACGGTACAGAAAGCGGAACGGAAAGGAAAACGGAAAATTTGATGTCAAGTTTTCACTAAGAACAGGTATAATTCAGACTTAGGAAGCAATATTCTTTATCTAATACATGTAGATCATATCTACTTAAAAGTTATCGTAACAATGTGATTTATTCATGATATTTTTTCCTCAAAACATATGGCATATATACATGCAATGGTCAATAAAATACACATTAATTAGACTCATATCCCATTATCTATCAGAATGTCTCACTTCATGCGCGGATCTAGAGGGGGGGGGGGGAGGTTGGCAGAGTTATTAAATGTATATACTAAACCAACTAAAAGTGAACTTGGACCACCCCCCTCGAAAACGCGGATCTGTATAAAGTTGGTACGAAAAGTTATAAGTATTAAGCTTTAAAAGTCAACGACTACCCCCCCCCCTCCCCGAAAAAGGTTTTTCACGTTTGGGAAAGGACTTTACGGGTGGTTTTTTTTTTTTTTTTTTTTTTTTTGCTTGTCAAGAATTTTCTAGGTTGGAATTTTTTTTGACTGGGGTGGACCCACCCACCCCCCTGGAAAAAGCTGCTGAATCCGTGCCTGCACTTATCACTCATCCAAATCTGAATTTAAAAAATGGCTTATTCGTCAAAGACAAAATCATCATCATTGATTATAAAGGAACAATGTTGTTTTGAAACAGGCGGAGGAGAAAGACAGAGTATATATATACATTTATGTTAGAGACAACGATCACTGGCATTAAGGAAACAATTAAAAAAATATATATAACAACTACAGGAGTGTTGATGCAGTCCACAGGAACCTGAAACGGGGATTTAAGAAAGATAGAATACATGTATATGACCAAATTGTGCAAAACAGCACAAACTGATTGCGCAGAATAACGTCAAGATGAAATTGATGGGGAAATGACATATTTTCGAGAAAATATAGAGTTGTTATTTACATTTTAGTAGGGGGGGGGGGGGTTACAGAGATGTACTTTATCCAAACCTAAGGTGCATGGGTACATATGCATTGAAAATTATAGAAATTTTCGCTCAAAACATGTTACACGTATATATGTACGGCATTAGATATATTTTCTGTTCCGTTTTCCGTACCCTGTGCTTTGTCTATGTTCAGACATCTTCAAAAATAAGAGAATGAACATGACTAGATCAACTCGTATTTTAATAATTAAGGATTAAATATGAAAAAAATTATATGATATTTACTGTTTCTGGTATTATTTTTATATTTTAAGGGATTTAACCTGGAATCATACTTTCCGTTTTCCGTTCCGTTCCGCTTTCCGTTCCGTTTTCCGTTCAGCGTTTTAGCAACACCCTATAAATTAGATTTGTATAAATTTATATCTTGATTCATTTCTGCAAAATACATCAAAAAATATTTGCACATGCATAGTTTATGTAAGGAGATATTTGATCATTTCCAAGTTATTATTTTTCATAAATTATTTTGTGTAATTAACTGTAATATAGGAAAGGAACTTCCAGGTTTTAAGAACTTGTGTCCAATATTTTGTTTTAACCTCAAAACAATAAAATTTGTTCTACAATCAGAAATCTTAGTTTTCTTTTTTTTAATTAGTAATTCAAACATTTAGATAAACTATGCAATTTTTTTTTTCCTTTTTGATGAATATCATTTACCACGTTCAAATATGGCATTTTGAATTGACACAAATAATTATTATATAGTTTTTGTACTTAAGAGGGCTTAAACACGGATTATATAATTTTGGAGTTAAGACCTATAAATCTGGCTTACATGCCTTTGTCCTTAGATATATGAAGATAATGAACAGTATTCAAGCTCAAATGTCCATTTAAACAATATAGATCGGGAGCAGAGCAAACGCGGACCTCTAAAACACTAGAGGTGGGATCAGGTGCCATGGGGGAGGAAGCATCCTCTGTCAATTGGTCACACCAGCTGTGTGATCATTGTCTTGATCGGACAAAGTTAATAATCTGTAGACAATTAAGGATATAAGTAATGTTCAAACAATTTGAAAGAAAAACGTTAGTCAGCATTCATAACAAATGGAATCTGTAAAAATATAACTAATGACAAAATAAGCAATATTAGAAATTGAAATATTACACATTTCAACATAAACATTCCTGATGTTAGCTTTAAATAGTAAGACAATAGCTCATTTAGTGAAAAAAAAGAAGTTAAATAGCCAAATAAGATCAGGATAAAAAAAGTTTAATTAAGCTAGAAAACCATTTTAAAGTTTTGTTAATACTTCTTTTTTTTTTTTTTTTTTTTTTGGTTGGTATGTTTCTTTGTTTGATTAATCCCTCCTTTTTAAATATAATGTGTTGTTTGTAATGTTTGACTTAATCAATTCAAAATCAATAAAATATATCTTTTTTAATCAATTTAGACAACCTTGCTCAGAAATCAGCTTTTAAAGGTAAAGCATCGGAAAGTGATAGTGCTTTTAAAAATAATTGGGGTTCAGCAGACAGAGCAGTTGACGGATATCTTCAAGATGAACGTGGTGAAGCAACATGTAGTTTTACAACGGCTTTGTACTATAAAACAGCATGGTGGAAGTTTACTCTGTCCCAGTTATCAAATGTTGCATACTTGGAAATATTCTTCAGAAAATCTAGTAAGATTTCATATAATAGAAAATCTTAACGAAAATTATTTCATATGAAAACACAATATAACAATTTTTTGACTTTTTTAATTGCCCATATGTCTGAAAATTAAACTTATTTCAGTGTAATTAATTTCAAAAAGGGATTCCTACATTTTTTTAATAAACTGCAATAGGTATTCTGGAATTATGGACTCACAATAGGTTCTGGCGTAAAGATTTTACACATCAACATATAAGAAAATTGATTAGGTAACATCGTTATAAAAATATACCTAATTTATGTTAGTAATTAGATATGAAGATAAGGAACAGTAATCAAGATAAAAAGTTCATTGAAACAATACAAATTAGGGGAAGAGCAAACACGGACCTCTAAATAATCAGAGGTGGGATCATATGCCATGGGTGAGTAAGCATGCCCTGTCGAGCGATCACACCCGCCGCGTGCTCTTTCATAATGATAGATAGTATTTTCGGACAAGGTCACTGTATCGACCATAGATATTGAGAAATGTTGTCAATTTAAGTGTCAATAGCTTGCCTCCTTTCAGTCTTTTTCTAGTACATCATCCAAATATGAAACAGATGTGTCAGACTCTGTGTTTTTTAATTATTATTATTATTTCGAATTCAAAGAGATATATCGAATCAACATCGCTATGAAAATGAATATTATTAACTGACTTAACCTCGTCGATGTATCTAAATGTTGAAATGAAAGTCACAGCAAGATACTACTCCTTTTCATGTAGAAGGTTTTCTATAAATTCTGCTATGAATACAACAACAAAAAATCTGCTTATAACGGGCACAATTAGTACCCATGGAAATTTCAACATATTTTTGCACGTAGAACATGGTCTTGCTTTACATAAATATTGTCAATCAGAATCGCAGAATTTTTTATTGTCAAATTCCGGGTGCTTTTGTGTACAATAAGAATGTTTTAACAAAAAAAGTTTGCAAATGACCAATTACAAGGTAAGTAAGCTTACGAGTTACATTTATTTTCGAAAAGCAGCTATGATGTTAAACGCCTGACTTAAATTTATTGCTCAGAATGATTGTATAAATTATTTTCATAATACATGTAATTTAATATTGTTTGTATTCTTGCCTCTGATTGGTTAATATCCAAAAAGGAACACAAATTATTTCTGTATAACCTGGTTTGGTATGGGGACACCCCCCTCCCCCCGAAAACCAGCTGAATCATCTGTATCCATACAATCCTCTCATTTCCAGTCCTCGGGATTCATGGAAAATTCCAGATTTAATAAATGTACCTTTAACTTCAAACAATAATTCGATCTTACCACATGTAAACAAACAACATGGCTGCTAGGCCTATGTATCAGTTTTTACCTCCCCTCGCTTCCCATCACTTCCGTTACTTCCGTTACTACGGTTGTATTATTGAGCGGCAAATTTGAACTAATAAAAAGCAACGAAATTTTACACCCATAGTTATTTAATGATTTAAAATTAAATTATAAGGAATGGCTTCGGGGATTATAAAGCGTAAACTGACCCAAATCAGGTTATACTCGAATAATTTGGCCAAGAATTAGAGTCATTCCTAAACTACTTAAGAGGTACACTCGTCTATTTTGCAGCAACGGTTAAAATCAACGTCATTTTACGTAAATGACGTCATAATAAGGAGTACGTGCAAACCAAACCTTGAGAAAGCTTCCGATGTTTTCGTTTACCAGTGATTCAGGCCCTTAGATTATTCCACATACGACTAAGCGAGGATCGGGGGAGGGGTGTCCCACCCACCCCATCCCCCTTTACTTATTAAATTTATATAAATAAATGACTTTGGAACCTTCAAAAAGACAGACCACATACGGGAGTCCCAGATATATAAATAAATGTGCCCTCCTCCCTTTCTTCATGAAGTAGTCGTATAATAAGTCATAAGTAATATAATATTGTCTTTTGTTACGTATGTAGAAATTGCACATGCAATATTTTTTTAAGAACAAATTAGATATTGTTCCCTGCATCATCTCGTTTCCTCTTTTCGATTGTATTGTATTTTTGATCTTTTTCCCCTAAGTTTTATTTAGCCCTATATGCAGATACTACACGCGGCTGCGCAAGTAGATAATTAAAATTCAGTTCATATAGCTATGTTTTTGCTAATTTACGTCTGAAATTCTCATCTCTTTACCAATACTTACTTTTATTTGTTCCGTATTAACTTAATATTTCATAGATTTTTTTTATAAAATAAAAAGTAGCTCTGTCACCAAGACGTATGAATACAATGAATTACAATGAATGGGTTGATCAGATGATTTTGATATCCATGAGGACATGCTTGATATGATCATTTTTCCTCAAGAATTTTTGTGAAAAATAACAACGTATTTTCGTTGTAATCTCTGAAGAAAATAAGGCCAGTAAATGATATTGTTTGTATAAGCAAAAATGGTTTGTTTGTTTTTGTTTTGTTTTGATATGTGCTTTTTTGTTTGTTTGTTTGTTTTTTGTTTGTTTGTTTGGTTGGTTGGATTTTTTTTCTTTGGTTTATTTCTTTTTTATTTTATGCTATTTTGTTATTAGGCAGTCGAACCTTTTTCCATTGTGTAGGATATCCTAAAGATATTCCCTATCATTCTGTCCGGAAATACACGTACACATGATTTAGATTTTTGCTAAGAAAATTGCACCTCCCTCTGATGATGATATACAGATTAATTTAACACTTGCACAAAATAAAATGTGATTATATATTTTGCTGATTTTTTTTTCCTTTGAATTGATGTCATTCATGTATCAGGTAATGCTTTTTTGGGACTATGCAAATTAAAAAAAAAAAACAATTATTTCAAATCTAATTAAAAATTGTAATAGAAACTTGCCTTAAGCGCACTCTGGTGAAAATTGGGGGAGTGGGGAGAGAGAAGAAAAAGAAAACAAGAAACAATAACAAACAAATTTTTAAAAAATGGCACATAGTTTGGAAAACCTCTTTCATTTTGAGGGGATTATATTAATCATTCTCACTCTATAAAGAATTGTGTTAAATTACATTGCTTGCAATTATGTTATAATATATATATATATATATATATATATATATATATATATATATATATATATATATATATATATATATATATATATATATATATATATATATATATATATATACATTTTGTTGTCTGTCATTTGATTTCTTATTTTGACTGTATACCAACATTGTGATGTCAATAAATTGAATTCAATTGAATTTTTGGCTTCAACAAAAAAGGGGGAGGGGCAACCGTCTTTGAATTGCAAAAAATATACATTGAATATAAATGAAATGTAAAGGAAATGTCTATTACTTAAAGAAATGAATTTAACTCGATCCAAACCCTCCCCCTTCCACACTTAAGTACGCACCTACAACGAAATATACGATATTTAACATCGTTCATCTCCTCGAAACGCATGTGAGATCCATGTAAGTTCGTATCATACGGTCAAGTTCATTGATACTTTTTTATTTTATTGTAGTTACTTTTTTGCTTTTGGTTGAACGAATTCTTTGCAATTTCTATCCATTTTTTCAATCCAATTTCTTATATAATTCTTCCTCCACAACACCATACTGATATTCTACATGAGTTTATGTTTTTAATTTATTTCTGGACAATGAAATTCTAAGAATACAATTCTCTTTGCGTATTCTTCAAATATATCTGGAAATGCAAATTAAAGTTAGAGAAACATGAATATGTACATGTACGTACGTGTACCTATGAAAACGAATAAAAACTACAGTTTCAGAGAGAGAGAGAGAGAGAGAGAGAGATGTGCAGTTACCAAAACCGATTTAATACATACACAGTTTTAGTTTGAATTGTTTAGAACTATGATATCATGATTTATTATAATGCTTGAAATTAATTGCTGTTTTATTTATCTGCTTTTATTATAGACTTTTTCACTTGATTCTCAATTGCTGATTTTTTTTAAAGTTTAAATAATATAAAAGTGATTGATTTTTTCTTTTTGTTTTGTTTTAAATTTTGGTGGCGTGAATGTTTTTAATCTCAATTTATTTAGTGAATCTGTTCATGTTAACGCTTGCCAAGCGTGCCCATATCTAGGCTTTTCATGACCATGCTTTTTGTATTTAACCAGCAATCCTTTTTATTGTGTTTCAATACGTTGGTTTTTTTTAAATACAAAATACGAAAATATGTTAAATTTTGTAAAGTCTCGTTTTGTTTTTCTAGCGTAAGTGTATATGTGTGTTTAAAATAATTGTTTACTTTCTGTCGTAGATACTTTACATTTATTTAAAATATTGATCACGCCCGATATCTGGACACTCGGAACAGGGTTGAACCACACTAAGAACCGAGTCCAAAAAAAAAATCATGTAATTTTTCTCTCCTAAAAGATCACAAGTGGTGTAACGACTGAATAATAAATTAAAAGATGAAAGGGCTTCGAAAGTATTGCAAGTCGATAATAAATCGGCAAGAAAGTTATTTTTCCAAAAATTTTAGACAATATATATGAATCTTTAACTTTAGTCTACTAAAAGGGAGCGATTTACACGATTTGTGGTTGATCTAAAGTTGACCATCCATTTATAAATATAGTTTCTGTTTAATTTTGTAACAAAGGAACATGAAATCGGATACACAGGTAACCTGGGATATAAAATACTAAAAACCTATATTCATGGTGCGAGGGGACGGGGTGGGGTGTATTTGAAAAATGACTTAAGAAAGCCTCCCCCCTCCCCCCACATCACAAAATCAAGTTGCATCTTTTTGCTTAACAAAAAATTTCCAAGACTGAAACGTTGTATCCCCCCCCCCCGCTAGAAAAAATCTGATCATGAACTCGCCCCTGATTTCTGAGTTTATTGTAAATTGTATACAAGGGCAGGTCGCTGTTTGAGGCCGGAAGAGCTCCGTTTTTAAGGTGTTTAATTCTTTTTTTTAATTACATTGTAATTATTCATGTTTTCGAGTTAAAAAAAAAAATGAAAG